TTCCGGAGGTTTAGTCCGATGCTCAATATGGTTGACTGGTCTCGGAACGTCTTCACCTAACTCTTTGCCCTTTGCCCTCAACTAATGACAGCGATTAGGCATGACCTATCCCCCCGTACAAAGCCACCCACAACCCCCACCTCTCCCAAATAAGACGGGATGGCTTCCCAGCCGCCACGTTGAGATTCTGACTGCAGAAACAGGAACCCTCAAAGGTTCGCCAAGACACCGAAACTACTGCCCCAGCGCCCCTCCCTTTGTCGTCTGGTGCAATCTGCACCTGCTACCAGTAATTGAGCACTCTTCAGCGAAGTGTTTACGAGTACGTCGGGATCCGAGAGTCTATTGGAACTTTCACTTTTTCCCTGGCGAGGCATCCGCAATTATTTTCGGAGGGCAAATGTGAAATCCAAAGCTGATGCTTGAAACTCGGAGTGAAGCACTCGGACGATCTGGCTGTGCGTCCTGGCTAAGCTGCCATCCAGCACGCGGACGGGTAAAGTCTGCACGAAACGCGGCGAATGCCAGCTTGCCAGAGAAGGTCCCTTCCAAAGCGCACCCCTCCAGCAATCTAAGCACAGCACGTCATTGCTAAGCGGTCTAATCTCGTCAAGCACTTGAGCCCAACTGTAACATATCTGTGGACATCTTGTAGCCATCATTCTCGGAACCCTCGACGGAACAGTGTGCAACCGTCGGGAAGAACTGCTCAACCGGTTCTTCCGACCCCTTCCTGTCAGATCTGCCAGTTCCCCAGTTCATAGGTAAGGCATTTGGTGTATAGCTACAAACTTGGACCTAGCCAGCCCCACTTCGCTTGCTGAAATTGGAGCAACACGGATCGACTAGGGCCGGGGGCAGTCAACGCGGCAGGAGGGTTATGTACAAGTTCCAGCCAGCTACAGTAGAGGGCAAGGCCCTCCACTCGACCTGCGGTTCGATACCGACAGCACCTGTCCTTTCAAGGTCATGATAGCGGCGAAGCGTGGTGGACACCGACATTCCTTTGTGCAAGATGTACTGGCTGATTGGATAGAGTGCCGGATTGCCGAAAACCACCACGCTCCTTCCAGTCCGTCGCGGTTGTCCCGAACCCTTCAGACAGTGCCCAGGACAAGCGCCGTGAATGCTTTCCAGGATGTGCCGACATGCCAGCATGCAGTTGCAATCGCGATCTTGGGCTACCGCGCTCTAGGTTTCGGAGACGGGAATGTGTCTGCATGACGTGGCTGTGACAAGTTTGCACAACCGCTTTGTGATTATCTGCATTACTTTGAGCATTGCATCACGGTGCCGTCTGGGGCAGCCCGATAGCAGGCTTCACGGCTTCAGCCTAAGGGAAAAACCCAGCGATCTCATCACGACTGCAGCCGCGGGAGCCTCTGAGAACTGACTGGACTGTTGGTTAAAGAGGGACTGCCACATGAAAAAGCCAACAAATGCAGCACGAATATGAAGCTAGATAGAGACGGAGAGAGAGAGTGCGTTTGCATGCGTGTTGGAAACTGTAGAAGGCAGAGGGGGAGCAATCAGCAATTGTCAACGAACATTCAGAGCGGACAGCTACCATCAAGTTTGCCTGTGTGCACACACACACACAACCACTCGCAAGCTTAGAGCGTAAGGTTGAGAGGCAGGTTGCACGCCTGCTGCATGCGTACACACACACCCACACGGAGAAAGAACAATCGTGTGGACAGATCTGCCACGCTAAAATTCTGTGACATGATTCCGACTTCAGGCCATTCAACAGACAAGTGGGAAAGCATAATTACTTGGGCCAAGTACAGCGTCAAACAGTGTCCGGAGACTTCAGCCCTTCGCGACGAGGTCACTGGGAAGCCCAGCAGGAAGTTAGAAAGTCGAGGCTCGATGCTCGTCTCTGCCTTCTTGTTGCAGCCAGACAGCTTGTCGCTCGAACAGCCCCAGGCAGCTTTACAGTAGGCGTGTAGCTTTGTCAACATGGGCCTTGGTTCCGGGCAACAAGCTTGGCTGATACGGTTAGCTGCACGTAGGGTCAGAATTGGCATGCAGAGTACGTAAAGAGGCAAATTCTCTGCCGCAGTCTAACATCACTCGGATTGCAGGCCAACTCGTGGTCGCACGTGCTTTCTCATTCTGCTCCACTGCAGCATTCAGACCGGGCACATCTTCGGCGCTCCCCAACCCAGATTCCAAGCCTAGTTCGTCAACATGCCTAGTCACCCTCGATTTCGATCTGTTCAACCTGATTCAGAACGTCGCATCCGAACAAAACAACTTGCAACTAGCATGTGTCCACATAGCTTCTGACCGAATGCATTCGAATGCCGTACTGCCAGTCTGTGGGAAGCTTTGCAGTGGCCTTCGGAAACTTTCACTGCACGAGTGTAGGATTGAAACAGCAACCTCGCAGCAGCCAATCTGAGCTCTGCTCTAAGAAGTGTCAGCCAAGAGCCATGGAAGAAGCTTTATGCCCTACATGCTTCCTGTAACCTCGTGGCTGTCACGTGTTTTGCCTTCTCTCCATGCGCATGCTGAACGTGGTTGCTGCACGCATGTCCGCATATGCCAAAAAGGTCGGCATCGGTTGATGAAACGGCTGCACTGCAGCTGCGGACTGGGTCTCGCTCGGCTGTGCTGATGACAGCTCTACTTAATCTGAATTTGCATTTCACTAGACTCCAGCAGCCAGCATGCCTGTCTCTTCTTGTGACATAGTCTCCACTATCCCAGGACGCACAGGTCCATGACTGCTCCAAAGAGTGCAGGAACATGTCTCACACCCTTGGTTACTTTTGTGGAGTCGGGCGTGACCTTGCAGCCTCCGACCTGCTGGAATCCAGCACTGCCAGCCTCTGAAAACTGCTACTGTGCTCAGGGCACTGGCAATGTTAGATCTTCCTCAATGCTTTCTGGCACGAACTACTCGGTATTCACGACAGCGTAAGGTATGGTGCAACTTCAATCTCACTGGAAGACCTGGTCGCCATGTGCAACGACTTTGCAACATGTTTACGGTATCTCTCTCGCCTCTCTGTCCGAAGGATGTCCTGCGCACTAGTAAGGGGAGCCAAACGCAAGACTTGAATGGGAACCGACTGCCCGACTAGTCGTCGGCATAGAAAGCAGCGGCCCTTCGTCTGGCATTCCTCCTCCCCTTCGGCTGACAAGTGTATAGGAGCAGCTTGCAATGCGCTGTCGGGACCCAGGGGCAGTGAGCCTGCTGCGTTCCGACATACCCGAGTATATACCCTCGTGGAACAAGCGATGTGATCTGCGCAGGCACCTACGCACCCTAAAAGGTCAACCAGACCCCAAGCTTGCAAGGCACATTGTCGCACCCAGTACCTCATATTGAATGTTGAAGGCCGCTGCGACGATTCTGGTCTCAGCCAGGGAGGCGCCCTCTTCAAAAAAGACGCAACCCATGGCCTTTGCTTGCCAAACTTCAGCTAATGGTGAGGGTTAGCCCCCAGGGAATCTGTCGCGGCACCCGGTTGTAAAAAAAACAAAGGCCTTGCAGGAAACATACACCGAACCCGAAGTTTGCCGTGGCCTCACCCTGCAAAAGCCGTTCTTTCGGGGGGAGTGGGTTCTTTCAGACTTCGGGTTGCAGGTTTCTTTCTCGCAAGCCTTGCGCAAACAAAACTGCGAGGGCCCACCCAAGTTTTGGGGCCACAGCTCGCGCTGGCCAAGAGATCGGCTTCGCTCCAAACGCGCTTGCTGGTAGCATTGGTCTTGCTTCAGCTCTTTATAGATGCCATGCCCTTTCTACTTAGCACCACCTCCCGCGCAATTGGAGCAAATCCCTGCTTGATGGCAGGCCACGGTCAGATGATCACGCCTTCCAGGCCTCGCCGACAAAGCACAAGAGCAGTCTGCCAAATCGTTATGTCCAATGATGGTGCCCGGCTTCGACGGGATACAGCGGCTATTTCTTGATTGATGAGATTCGCAGGCGGCCTGGATCTTCGAAGGGGTTTCTCCTCTCAAGCCGCAACTTGAACCGAATCCTGAGCAATCGCAAGGCTGGCTGTACCGAACAAACCAGACTTGTATTTGTGCTGCATGTGGGTACACCTCGAATTCTCAGACAACCTGGGAGTTCATTCGTGCTGAGTCAGCAAGTGTCCTTGCAGGTGCTCATTCCTTTCACATTGACATGTGCGCAAACTTTCCGCCGAGATGCCCGGATGTGAGTCAGGCAAAGGACCTACGGGCTGCTGGCTGTGTCGACACTGGGGCCGCCGGGCGATTTGATGCTAAGTTTACCTACGTAGGACGTTCGCGAGTACTCGTGGGTCGTTTGCCAAATCTCCGTACCGCACCGGTCACTACGCCTGTGTGCTTTCTGTCGTGTCACTGAACACTCCGCACATGGTGATCGCACCGCACCTTTGCTAGCTCGACGTCAATCTGGTCTGCTTCGACGTAGCCTGAGCGAGCTCATATTGATCAACGGGACACGCAAACCGAGGCCAACTTTGTGACAGTAGACAGATCAAGTTCTGGCGGCGCTTCAGAGCCGAACACACACACACACACACCAAAGCTTGCATGTGCATCATATGTGGAGAGTTTGCGCCGTCTGCACTCGTGTCTCTCGCTTTACATGTCTCCGGGAGCTGCATGGGGCCTACAGTACCTCGCGTTGAAAGACCTCCAACAATCGACATGACGAGAGGCGAAAATAGCGAAGACTTCCGAGCAGGCTGTCCTTGGATGCAGCTCTTTGCATGACGAGACTGGTCTCTTGGGCAGATCCCCGGAAGTGGCTTGAAGTTCTCCGACGAGTGACGTCCTTGGAAGGTGGCATTCTTGTACCGGCCTTGGCAGCAAGCTTCGATCCGGGGTCGACTGCACTTCCCACGACAAACATCTGTGAAAAGTCCTGAAGTTCTCATGTCAGATATCACACAAGGTGCTGTGCAAATGTTCAAGTTCCTACTCCTCCACTGAGGAGACTACCCTGAAATTTCCCATCGCGGCCTGTGGCATGCCGGCCTCGTCGAGAATGACTGAACCACACTCGAACTGATGTCTGATTGAAGTGTTCGAATTATAGAAGAGGACGCAACGTTCGACAGGTCCTGTACCTTAACATGATATGGTGGCAATGTTTGCCTAACCCATTGGCGTTCCGATCCAGCCTGCGCAGCTTGCTGCATATTCATCAGAAGGGACTGCTGCATTGGGTCCAGGCCACCGCCACCTGCGAAAAAGTGTTTTCTCTCGCCGTCAGCATTCTGCAGTACACAGACTCTTAAAGGCCTCCCTGCATCATCTGCATTGGCGTTGTAACGAGCCTCGGTTCAAAGCTGGAGCATGGGGCGACAGGAACTCTTGCATCCAGGCCTGATATGTGAATATAGAAATAGTAGTTATGTGAGCGAGGCTCAAAACAGCGTTGAAGCTATGTTGTCTTCTCCGAGCAGCGGCATCGGGCTTGCAGTCTCCGGAGCTTTGGCGGGCACGGTTTCATCCTGGAGGTGACTGAAAGGGAAGCAGCCTTGGCCCGGCAGCAGGTCAGAAGCGGACGAGTGACACCGTTCACATTGCTGACTAAGTAATCACCAACCTTCCCAGAGGCCACTGCAGTAAGCGCAGAAGCGATGGGCTTGGCTGATGACCTGCCCACTCCCATCTTCGATGTATCCCAGCATATGTCAGTGGCATGCGGCCCGCTTAATGCCGAATGCTCTAGTCCTATGGACCACGGTACAGAGTCCGAACTTGACCCGCGTGCTGCCCTGACACCGCCTTGGCTCCGCAGTTCGGACAAAAGCGCAACTGCGGCTTGGGCGGTGAGTTTGCCTGCGGCCTCGACATGCGGAATTCAATGCGGCAAAAAGTTTTGCAAGCGACCAATGCATTTTCCCGGCAGCTGTAGCCCTGCAAACTTGGGGCTTGACACCGTCGGCATCATTGGACTCGGCATGTGGTTCATACTCACAGCCTGGTTGACGGCCTTGCGCTGCAGTGCTTCCAGCCGCTAAGTCACTAAGTTGCACTGTAAGCCTGGTTTCCTACTTCGGACTTTTGATTGGCTCACGGGGCAAATGACAGAGGCCTAAGGGATCGATGCGCAGAACAAGTTCACACATGCAACATTTATAGCACATACATGCCAAATAGATAGATAGATAGATAGATAGATAGATAGTTAGGTTGACAGATAGTTAGATAGATAGACAAATAGATAGACAGACCGACAGATAGATAGATAGACAGGTAGATAGGCAGATAGATAAACAGATAGATAGAGTAGGTAGGTAGGCGGGCAGGCAGGCAGGTAGATGGGTAGGCAGATTCCTCGCTAGGTAGAGAGATCAGCATAAGGTAAGATAAGCCAGATAAGACGATAGTGGAAGAAGACAAACTAAGATAATGACAGCAATAAACTGAAAGACAAGACACGAAACAAACAACCATAAAAAACACATACATAGGAAAAGCCGAGGCACGATGATGGGGAGACGGATGGATGGATTGGGTTGCGTTGGGTTAGATTAAGATTACAGATAGGTAGATAGATAGACAAAGAGACAAAGAGACAGAAAGACAGACAGATATATTAGGCATTAATGAATGAATAAGTGAAATCTGATCATTCAATGTCGTAGAAGCTGCGGGAAAATCACTGACGTCAATCTCTGGCGATGAAGCGCTGCACCCGCTATGCTGTGCGGGCTAGTGTGTGTTTGCATTTGTGTGTGTATATACATACATACATACATACATACATACATACATACATACATACATACATATATATATATATATACATATACACTTATGCATGTAATATTCAGGGGCGGTGGATGCACAACTGAGAAGGATCCACGAGGCTGCCTTCAAAGCATCCAGGAGTGCAGCATCGCCTGGGCTCCAGTCGTGAGATGCGAGCAACATGGGAGTCTCTCCGAGCCCTGCAAAGGATGACTGAGTTCGAAAGCAAGGCCGATTTTTTAATTCTTCGAGCCACAGCCCTGCTGACAGGGCGGAATTGGGCAAGACTTGTTCAACAAGCTTGCCGCAAGACAACAAACCGACAGAGAAGCTCAGGGAATGCCTCTGGCTGCATCACCATGTTGACTGCAATAGTCGAGTATCGTGGCAGTCCCGACAGCTTTGCCATCGTTGACGTTCGCGGATGTCCAGTGCACCATGCACCCCAGTCAGCTTGTGGCGATCACTCAACATCGAAATTCGAGAAGACCTATCAGTACCGACTCCGATGATGTGGATAGCAAATTCTGATCGGAGGACGTGGCTAGAAGCAGCACAGGCGTGGGTAATAGATGTGCAGACGCCTCCAGCGTGGGCATATGGACTGCGCGAAGCAGTTTTAGCAATCTTTCAACCCGCATGCCGAACGGCAGGGCAGGCTCAACCTGCGCACATTCCGAAATTCTTCGGTGCGCACAGGCTGAGAGCGGGAACAAAAACATACAAAAACCTAGACCTAGAGGGGGTGCCTTGCAGCAGTATGTCTGGAAAGACTCTTTACAAAGGAGGTCCCCATGACCTCCGCCTTTGCAGTTGCGACATGCTTGGCTGGCAGAGACAACTCCATGAAGTCGGTCTTGGAATCAGCCGTGGCGCTTACGCAGCAGCTATTTTGTGTGCTGTCTGCAGCTGTGTCACACAGTTCGGGAAAAATAGCCTAGAAAATTCACCATCTGCCGAGGCCTCTGTACACAAGTCGCAAGAGGTTTGCTGAGGAAATGGGAACCAAAGGCCCCAGGCTTTGCCATAAGAGCCTACTGGACTGGGGGCTACTCCGTCCCCTCAGCTTTCTGTGCATCAAACTGCTCCTTCGCGAACCGGAGGAAAACCTTTTCAAATGGGCAAAACGGATCACATGACAGCGTCAAGCCGGAAGAAAACACCTGAAACGCACATGTTACATCAAGTGTTTTAGGCCGCCCTCATCCCCTCTTCATGTGGCCTTTATCACTAGCAACGCACTGGCCTTGCCCCCCTCTCCTACAAAGTTCATTCGCGCCTGCTCGAGAGAAGGCTGGGAGAGGCTGTAGTCTGTGATGCCCAGGCCTAGGAAAATAGCATTTAGAGTTTAGGAAAAAGGGTTCCGGCTTAGTTGAATCTTTGGCTCCAGCCTCGTGGTCCACTCGAGTAATGTTTTTGGGTTCGGGTTGTTCTTATATTACTGGTGACTATGCGGGACTCCGCTGGATCATTGATTTAGATGGAGCGGGACTGCGTAAGTGCATCATGGAGGAACCTTGCCTACGCATCCTGTGCGCGATGTAAAGGGCATTCCTTCAGTATCTGGAATACTGTCGGGCTTGCCTTGACAATCTGCACTACTACTTGATTTTTGGAAGCTTTTACCTCCATACTGTTGGTTATGATTGTTTGACGAAGCGATCATCATGCAGTCTAACAGTGAGATAAGCGGCTAGAAAGTCCTTATGGTTGCTGGATGTTTGAGAAAACGAACATTGTGCACACATTGGTCGACACTGCTAAAGAGCAGGCTACAAGAAGGAAGGGCTAGGAGAGGCAATAACACTACTATATCTACGCGCTCCGTACACTTTGCCTATGCGTGGCCTACGCGAAATGGCACTGTGAGTCTGACAATATGGCTGGATTTGGCGACCGGGATGCGTGGCTAACTGGTCTGCGCAAACACCAGGTTCCGTGTTTACACAGCCGGTACTTACTGCAAGCTCGGATGTTCCGATGCTCGTTTTAAGTGCCTGGATCTTTCAAAACAGTAATTATTCACGAAGCCCCTACCTGGTAGGACCTGGAAGCTCGGATCTTTCAGTTCACGGCTTCGGAGACTGCAATCTCGCTCGCGCGGACGCCTACGCGGATCTTACCCTACAAGAACCCTACGCGGGACGACGCTCCCCATGGCTAGGCAAGCACATGGATACAAGACGCGATTACATAGCGCAGACATGGCAAAAACACATGCTGCTCAATTCAGCTTCTACCTGCGTCTGCTTGCAAGGTATCCAATTTTGTTGTTCAGCTGCCTTTGGGGCTTTGGGGCCCAAACACCCAAATCTGTTGAACCCGCATGATTCTCGTGCACTTTCTGGAATAAGAGGTAACCCCTCCGCAATCGTAAAACAGCGATCCTTGAATCTTGTTTTGCGACACGGCACGGTTCTTCTCTGCCTCCATGGCCTGGTGCAGACAGCAGGTGTGCTGGAGACCCGCTCTTTCGCTGCAAGGCTGCGCCTGGAACACACGGCCTAGCTGTAAGGATTCACCACGCGGCGGAAGCTGATACCTGGGACGTGGCGGCAATCCAAGCCGGAAATTTGCATAGCTGTAGTCGTGACCGAGATGCAGGAATCTCTCTGCATGGCCCTCCAGCAGGAAGGACGTTGCGGAAATCTTCTGCTGGACGAAAGCGTCCAGCTCCTCCTGCTGCACTGCAGCGGAGAGCATAGTACTTCTAGCGGAACCGTGGCTTGGCTGCGCCATTCCTTAGTGTCTCCCCTTCACTTAACTCCTGCTTCGTCGCAAAGCCTTCCCCGACACTGGAACCTTGCGCCAGGAAAAGCTCGAGTTGGTAGCCTGGTTTCCGGCAAGGAAGTGGATGGGCATTTGCATGGGAAAGCATGGCAACACGCTGACTCTGGCATGTTGGAAGAACTTGAAGTGAGCATGTTTCCGCCGGGCCACCAGTGCCATACCTGGGCTTCGAATGAACTTTCTGAAAGACGGCACTTTCACGAGCTATATTGTCTGGTCGCTTCTGCTTGATGTGCATCGTGGTGCCGAGGCAGCGCAGACTTCCTTTGACCTGCTTATTGCCACTGCCTATGTGTGTGTGTGTGTGCCTTTACTGCGTCACAGAGCTGCGGCGCGTGCAGATCCTCCAAAGCCGGCCTGAATGGCCATGCGGCTGCTGAGGGCCTCGGCCTCTTCCATGGAATGGGTCGTCAGCACCACCGTCCTTGGCCAATCTACGTAACCACGTCCACACCCGACAGGCGAGTAGCTGTCGTGAGAGGATTTTGTTAATCAGTTCTCATAATTACGCTTCCTGCGTGAGTGGTGAGGTGGTCTAGTTCGGGTGATCTCAGCGGGTCTGCCGTGCCGTCGGATTTCATTGTGTCAATGGGTCGCGGTGGGAAGCGAAAAACACACCGTCAGCACGTGCTTTAAGACATCCCATGACGATAGATTGATGCTTGCTTGCGTGCTGGGAATGCTAAGGGGAGTGATCTAATTTGTCCTCAGTTCTTCTTTGACAATTTTACTTACGACTTGTGAAAAAACCGGCGCAAAGTCTGACTCTGGGCGGAGTGGGGAGCAGCTGTATCTGCGCTGCAGATACTTGCAGGGGCATTCGCACTGTCCAAATTCACGCTGTCGGCCTACTTCGGCTTACAGCTTCGATGCCACTCAATCACACCCTCCTGCCTAGGATAAACTTAGTTTAGCTGGTTTAATTTAACTGCTACTGGTAGAAGGAGGTGTTCTTTGGTGGTTTTCTACGTCTTCACCCGACATTGCCAGAACCAGCTACTCTGAAACCGCTGCCTTTCTGCTGCCATGATTTGCTACTTTTCTGCATCTGCAAATGTACACCCTAGCTTCATCACAAAGCCGTGGTTGCACGAGACTCGATGTTACTCGTCCGGAGCGAAGCCAGCAACATCCTACACCCCGGAATGGTCTACTCCGAACGAGTCTCTGGTCCGAAGCACGCTTGTTGATCACCTGCGGGCTGAACAGCTCTGGATGGAAGGAGCTCCAGCTACTGCTTGGTGTCGGGAAGTTCTTTGCCCGGGAGCGGCTGTAGTACGGAAAGCGCTTCTCTCAATCAAACACCCCCAGGCCAGACCTTCCACAGGTGGCGCTTAGCCCCCGCGTCCACAGCTGCCGTGGGCTCGTCCATGAACAGCATCTGAAGCGATGCGCCGATCAGCTGACGACCAAGTCTGCTATGTTCACACACGATGGGTTCGTGTCGACAGGAAGATATGGACGGACGACCAAATCAACTTGGCCACGCTACCTGGGAGTGGCCGATCAAGGCGATTGCCACGCTGAGCTTCCTTGGTTGAATGCTCAAGTTTGCCCCACATGCCATGGCTACCTCACTGTGAATACCAGTCGAAGTATGGACCCTGCGGTCCCGCTCAACTCACAAACACTCATATCTCAGACATTTCATGAAATATCGTTTGTTTCTGGCCCCCATGGATCAAGCCCCCCGCACCGCACGCTAGTTAAGGCCGGACTCCGCTTCATCCCACCACTGTATCGGCTCGTGGCCTTCTTTGCATCTTCCGGCGACAAGCCCAAACGCCTCAGGGGAGTCGAAACAAGCTAAGCACACATGGTGCTTTCATTGTTTTCGAAAGCATGCACAAAGATAGGCTTAATTGCCATCCGTGGCACTGAAAGAGTCGGTGCACGGTGTCCTTCAACTCCTTCTCCGGGACACCCTTGATTCGACCGTAGTACCTGAGAACTTGGCATCAAGAAGAGGCACGTGGAACTGCCACACTGCCACAAGTTGCACGGCATTCTGGACGCAATTTTCCACGCGGTGGACCGGTGGAGACGTAGCTGAGAGAGCGGAACAGTTAACCACCTTGAAAATGCGCAGGAAAAACACCAGCAGTCTGTGGCCACAGTGGAAATCGTCGCTGTTGAATTGCTTTTCACGCCTCTAAGCCTAAGCCTGAAAATCTTTCGAAAACTCATCACTCATCATCTCTTGCAAACTTCAAACGATCGCTGACACTGAGGGGTGGAGTCAAGCTTGCTCGGCATCATCGGGATGTTGTGCCATCGCATCTCTTAGCTCTTGCTTGCAATGGACTCGGCCACGTTCTCGGGCACAGACTCGTACTTCTCGAACTCCATTGCGTAATTGGCTCGGCCTTTGGACAAGTTGCGCAGCTCGGCGATGTAGCTGAACATCTCTGCCAATGGCACGCTTGCATTGACAACGTGGAGGTTGCCACGCGTCGCGAGATTCTGGATGATGCCTCGACGGCTGTTCAGATCACCGATGATGCCGCCCATGTACTCCTCAGGGGTGATGACCTCGACCTTCATGATCGGCTCCATGACGATGGGCTTTGCCTGGCTGGCTCCCTCCTTGAAGATTGCCCGGGCTGCAATCTCGAAAGCAATAGCAGAAGAGTCGACAGGGTGGAATCCACCATCCTTCAGTTT